AAACCTTCAAAAGCCTTCAAACACTATTTTACGGAATTCTGTTAATGAAAAAAAAAATAGAGGCAAATGAATGTAAATGAATGCACGAAATGAATGAAAATGATTTCCCATCCCTGGTTGGGATACCGTTAGCATGTTAGCACCCCAAATAATAACGGAATAGCTGTGGAACTATGTGTCCTTCAACAAGTCCTTATGCGGAAATCTTCTAAAATAAATTTTTTGTAAGCGTCTGAAGCTTTCAGCCCATTTGATGGAAAAATAAACAAGTTATTGCGCATTTGCCCCAAATTAGACTCAGAATCCCTCAGAATACTTTTACTCAGACCAGTAAAAATATAAATGGACGATTTTGCATGTAAAATAGCACTACATTTTACTATACAAGATCATATAGTCGGCTTTAAGTCAGAAGCGACTAAGAAGCAAAATAAAAACAAAAAAAAAAAATGAGTTAATGATATCATAAGATCAAGAATTCCCTCAGCTATATTTCACTTTTTCAGCCAGATTTGAAAAATTAGAGTAGCAATTGTCCCATTACATAAGACACAATATTGAACAGCCAACTTTAAATTCGTTTTTCTCGAAATCAAAAAAAAAAATTTCACAGTTCTGTCTGACTTGACCGATCATATCAACACGCTAGTAATGATAGACCTCTGAAGATCAATATTTGTATTTTGTCTTGCTTGAGTGAACACTATTTTAAGGTATTATTTTCAACGCAGAAGTGTACTTTGCTGCCTAAACGTTGGTGGTGACTTCTTATTACATACACACAAGTCTACACTTAAAAATTAACCATGTTTAACATGTTGTAAATTTGTTCTGTTATGATCAATTGAGTTGAAATTTTGACTCAAAACTTGCTTTTCCATTGACCTTTGTCCGATCAGCTATGCACAAATTTTAATTTCATTGTCACCTTCGAGCAGGTGCTTCAAAAAATTTGGTATTTCTTACACGTGAAACTCAAAATATTTGTAGTTATGCGTCAAAATTTCAGCTCAATTGATCATAACAGAACACATTTACAACATGTAAAACTTGGCTATTTTGTATGAAAACGACCTTTGTCCGATCAACTAAGTACCTCAGTGTACGTAGGTACGAAATGTGGATTAAGGTTAATGTAATAAATTTAGGAAAAAGTTGTGTCATATCTGTATTACGGATTGTTGCTAAGCTTCTTGCTTCAGGAATTGTATTGAATACCTGTCAATCAACAAACTTACTACGGCAGCAACTGAATTCTTTAGATGTGTTATTGCTCACAGGATAGTTCATATCAGCCACCATGATGCTGAATTGAAACAATCAATTTGCGACGACAGATTTCTAAATAGTCCTAGTGTTAGTACCGTGGTCCCTCGGTGAAATTAAAAAAAAGCATATGTATTAACGAGCAAATAAACCACAACTTGATTGTACATTTCGCTTACCAAAGCCACATCTCTTCCTTCGTTGGTTATGAATGGGCTATTTTTCAAGTTAATACTTTAATCAACGAAAATTGCCGCTAGGAAAACTTTGTTGGTCATAACCATCCGACACCTCTTCTCCATGTTCGATAAGAGTGTAGTAGCTAGGTCGCGTTCCATCGTTTTCAAAACAAAACAACACTTTTCCCACATCAAGAACACGAGTTGGTCTTCCAGTTGAGTTTGTTATTTCGATGTCGCATTGAAACGTCGCTTAGCGACGTCTCATTGCGAAAAGTGCATGAGCTTCGGCTCACGCGACGTCGCATGATACTCGTTCTCATGAAACGCATACATCCGGAAATGTGCTGTGCTTACAAAACAGTGCGACACACTGACATTATGAGAATGTGAGATGCGACAAAACTGAAGAGAGAGAAACAGAGTGCTACAAATCTCTTGCGCATGAGACTGCTATGACTATGAGACTATTCGTATTGCGTCTCGCATACGGTAGCGCGTGCACTGGAAGCCTTGGAGACGGTTGGTTTAGGTCCAGCATCGTTGGCTCTTGCGTCATGAGGATTACTGAGCTTCCCCTCTCTGATGAACCATTGCATAAGAGAACCAAAGTTCTAGCCTGAAGTGATAGTATCACACTTGTTACTCCTTTATTTGAAAGCCGCGTTGTAGTACGCTTACGTATAGGCACTGACGTTGGGTGTGATACTGGCGGGTTTTGTCGCAAATCACTCTTATTTTATTTATTTTTACGCAGATAGATTTATTTGGGTTTGCAAGGGAATTATACAATTGAAATATTTCAGAAAGTGCCCAACGGTGCTCCTTCTATTTGCGTGACAAGCTTTCATTGTTGTTTTCATTGAAGCATTACTCAGGGAACAATATTAAACACCACCATGGTATTGTAACTAATCTTATATATGCTCTATTTTGGTTTGGGATAAGTGTTTGAACTATGGCTCGGGATTTCCACTGTGGCGTGCTTCTATTGTGACATATCAATACGTAATTTTGTGGGACGACATACTGGAAACGTGTGAGTGTAGTTGGAGCGTATACCTTATATAATTTAAAAATCAGCTAGGAAGCTAACTTCAAAGTGAAGCATTTAAGTCACTTGAAGGTGTCACCTGGGTCGATCTAAGATATAATAAATATAGATGAAAGTCAAAATTACTTGAAACACGTTGAATTTTAGATAACATAGTAGTTTAGGTACTAGATAAAGCATGAGTTATGATTGATTAGGTAAATTAGAGAATTCAATTATTTATTAAATTAGACTAATGAGATAACATAATCATCAAACGAACTTAAATAAGAAAATTTAGACAGCCTTATAACATTAAGTAGATTAACAAAAGAGTTAGGATGCGGGGGGTCCGCTTAGGGAGGCAACTAGCCTTTTCATATATTGTCTGTTTATTTTGATGGTTGCTTTAAAATATCAATTTGGTATATATGTGAAAGGATGAATCAGTGGGAGATAGATTTTCGGTTTCTTTACATTTTGCAACACAAATCTAGTACTATGCGTCATTTCCTCAAAACCCCCCAATAACCGACCTCTTCAATCCCTTCCTTTTCCCATGGCGTTCAAGTGGTCCCCATAGACTATTCAGCCATTACCCTTCCTTTATCCTCGGCTTTGGATTGACTTGCGCTCCCATTGCCCCACCAAACGTTGCAAAATGAAAATGAAAAAAGTGAATATTTAGTTTACTGATTTACAGCCTCTTACAAAAAAAATAGGGACCAGAAACTGTGCCACTTAAGAAGAATTAATTTTAATGTATGTTCTCAAAACTCTCAATTGCAATCAATAAATTCAAATAACATACTGTATATTTCTTTAAATCAATATTTAACATATCTTTATTCAAGTGTCTTCTTGGTGGCCATCTTACTCGATCTGCATTAAAAATGTCGTATTTTCATCTACATTTAATTCAAAATACTGCTTAGATTATGTAAACCATATTTCAAAGTAGTACACTGATTCATTAAAGTTATACAATTCTGTACACAATTTCCCGGTTGAACCATTATAGCTTAAGAGGTTCGTGTTTACCGCCTTACCTCTACTTACTTAACACAAATAGCTTGTGATGATGAAAGGTTAAATTTTTCATCATTTGGTATGATAAAATACATTATTACCTAGTCTTATTATTTTCTTAGACTGTTATTCTTAGATGGTTCACATAAATTCACTTGGTCACAAAATCTTGAAATGTTTGAAATTTTGCGGTAATCTAAATGGAGCGTAATCAAGCGTAAGCGAATCCAATAGATAGAAGAGTGGGATCAATAATTTCGTTTCGAAAGGAAAAGTTCCCTTAGCTTTTGGTTAAATTAGTCATGGGACAAATTCTAGTTCAATTTTTGGATTTTCAATTTCTGTCGAAGAAGACAAGCCGTGTTAGCAAGTTAAAAGTGATTGGTTTCTCCTTGCACTTTTCCCCTGAAAGCTAATCAAAAAAGTTAGTAGAATGCTACACAGTCGATTTTTAATTGTACTACTGAAAGAGTACAGGCCTAATGGGTTGAAAAAAAGATTCTTAAAAAATAAGTCATATTCAATTTAAATTAACACAGGTGTCATATTTTGATCTACGTTCTCCAGTAATTGATCTATCTTAATTTAAAAATTTATGTTTATTTTTCAAAACATTGTTTGTCAGGGGATTAATACTCTTATTTTCGTGATTATTTGCGCAAATAACATCTTGATAATATATTTAGAACTGAGTAGCTAATTATTGAAGCATATTTGTCAAAACCGTTCATTTAAGCTTATTCCACCACCGGATTCATGCTTTTAAGTGAGAGCTTTCGATATCCAATCAACCGTACAGGTTTCGACTGAAATACCTTCTTCATCGGTGTTCATCGCATTCATTTTGAATGCGGCAATCAATCAATACTCCTCTTCCTTCTAATCGGTATTGGAACAATGAAACCTCCGCAACTAATTTGATTACGCAAAGCCTCGGACAAAAAAAAAACGATATAGACAACAAATAAGACTCACTCTCAAAACCGTTTTTGTCTCCACATCGCATTGCGCGCAGGTTTCTACAGGTTAGGTACGTAAGCTGTGCTAATCGTCTCGCGTATTATTGTACACCATTGATTGTCTCGAAAATGTACCCCATTTTAACCAACGACAGCAACACAACAGTTTGTCTTTCCTAATACGAAGCTCTCGAAACGAGCTATACTATAGGAATAGCGGTTCGAACCGCGGCAAGTGATGAGCATTGTTGCGCACACACCAACCATCCATTGACTGGGGCCGTTTAAGGCGGGTTACATAATAAATGTCCGAAAAAGCAAATCACAACACAAACAACGACCGCTGACCACATCGAAATCGTAAACGCTCCGCAATCAGCTGCGCGGTTTGATGGCGATGACGAAGCTTGGGAATGATGGTGTGATACCAAGCTATGTCGAAACTTTCCGAAGTTCAATTAATTGAATTTCTCTCAATTTTCGCCTGTAAGCCAATTGAATATTCATGATTTGTTTGTTTTTCCCTCATTCCAGGTGGTGAAGTTTTCCTATCAGCCATTCGACCGACGATTCATCGACGACGACAATGAACCTACTGAGTGCGCGAGATTTGGCGGACCTACTGCGGCTAAGACGACAATCGAACGTTCCAACAGAGACCATTGGATCGACCGGGTAATGACCAGGTCCGATTACCTAGTCCGATTACCTAGTCCGATCTTCTGAAGTGCGCGTATTTTGACCCGTTTATTAGCGACTTAATAGTGTGATCAAAATGTAGACAAACGCGGCGACCGTTGTATTTCGTGAGTGATTTTCTTAAATCATAAAGAAGAAGCAGAGGAAGAAAACGTCCGCCAATTGCTTAGTACAGAGTGTGAATGGTGAAACCGCAGCAGTAGTGTGATCTAGTTGTGCAATTGTTTGTTTGAGTGATTGGTGCCGAGGCCCACGAGCACAGTAAAGGAAGATGATGGGTTGCAGTCGGGTGATCATCATCCTGCTGATGGTGCTCACCGCTTGCAAACTTGCCGATCCGGTACGATTGAACGGCGGAAATGCCACTACCGGTGGCGATGAAGATTCTCTAGTGCTTGGCGGAAGCGAACGAAGAACCCCGCCGTCGTCGCGTCAAACTGAAGTGCAATATGTTGCTGCTAGCCGTGGTGGATCGTCCACGGTGACGACATCGACGCTATCGCCGCCATTGGTGAAAGGGAGCAGCGGTAGTACGACTCCGACGGCGTCGATTGCATCGCAGCTGGATGGCCGATCTTCGCCAGATGCCACCGACAATCTAAATGGTGAGTAAAGCTGTTGCTGCCAGCCAGTCAGCAGTGTGATGATGGAATTAAGAGCACTAATTAAGATTCGCGCTCGCAATTGTGTAAAGTTGGACCCCGCGCGTAGTCTTGAAGAAGTTGAGGGTGGTTTCGTAACTCGCGGCCATAAACGGTTGCTGGTCGATCGGACGATCGGTCTAGATCTGAGACGGACGCGTGATGACTACTCGACCGTAAGAATGCACTCTTGTAGTGGATTGGATATTCAAATCAAGCCGATGCGGACGACCAAGAAGTCTTCGTTGATGCTTTTGTCTTGTCACAAATTGGGTCAACATGTTGTAGGTTCTCCGCCGCCACTGCGGCTTTACTGGAGGATGCTTATGCTGAGGACACACGACCGCTTTTTTTTTATTTGTCGACGATTGCCGGCCCGTGCTCGCTCGTGATCTTGATATTGAAATCATCAATCATCCATCATCGATTAGATGATGAAATTGGGTTTGCAATGAAAATGCCGGTGAACTTGGGAACTTTCAACATTATGAGACTTACAGGCTGTCACTCAAATTACATATGAGTATTGGATTTTGTACTGATTCCATATGAATTTTTCATACTTTCTGGAACATGTTATAAATTATCAACAGTGTTTTCAAAAATAAAATAAAATTGAATTGTGCAGTTGGGATTTCTTACGCAGCACTTAGTTTTGTTAAAAGTATTCATAATTATTGTTTTATTTCTGCAAATATAATAGGAAACTGCCAAATAGCTGGAAACCTCTATAACATCGATACAAATATTATTTATCTTTAATTTTTTTATTTTTTATTTATTGATTTATTTGTACAGGCTCAATCGAATAAACTTTACAGAGCCAAGTTATCATTTGCGTTAAACATAATTGATGTCTTAAATCTAGATTTAAAGGACAATATATTATACAAATATTTCATTATTCCTAAAACATGAACTTATTCCTATTCAATTTGGTATCTACAGTGTAATTATACAATTATTACAGAAATAAACATTAAAAAAAAACCACACGAACAAAACAAAAACTAAACACAAGGTTAGTCAAACTTACAATATAAGGTTAATATTCTTTAAAAAAAAACATATATAAGTTTCATAAACTCTAGATCGCGTCTACCCAAAATATATCGAATTGGAAAATTAGGTTGTCTACCTCGAGCCCGAAGGGAATCGTACAGTTCAGATCTGACTCCGCGATGCTCAGCACAAGACCAAATAATGTGATCTGCGTCCTGGTAACCTTGTCCACATTCACAGAGATTGCTGTCTCCCAGCCCAACACGAAACAAGTGAGCGTTTAACGAGTAGTGATTGGACATGAGGCGATACATCATACGAATGAAGTCTCGACCCACATCCAACCCCTTGAACCAAGGACTCTTCGACACCTTAGGGATGATCAAATATAGCCATCGTCCCAAACTTCCTTCACTCCACTTATTCTGCCAGCTGACGAGTGACTGTTGACGATAAATGAAGAAAAATTCATCGTAGGCGATTTGTCGATCGTAAATATCGCCTTCCATAGCGCCCACCTTAGCAAGTGAGTCAGCCATCTCATTGCCCGGAATCGAGCAATGAGATGGGACCCATGCAAAGGTGATGACAAAAGATCTTAAAGATAAAGCACTTAAAAGCTCTCGTATTTTCATGAGAAAATACGAGGAGTGCTTTACCGGCCTCATAGAGCGAATAGCCTCGACAGAACTGAGACTATCCGTAAAAATAAAATAATGATCTGGTGCAAGTGAGGCGATCGTTTCTAGCGTATAGTATATAGCCGCCAGCTCAGCTATATATACGGAACAGGGAGCTTGAAGCATTCGAGAGGCGCTATGAAATTCGTTATAAAATACCAAAACCAGCAGACGCCTCTATTAATGATCCATCTGTGAAGAACGATCTTGCGGAATCAACTTGGCCAAACTTTGCAGCATAAATTGACGGAACAATCATGGAACGATGATGTTCTGGAATCTCACGAATCTCCCGCGTCATAGATAAATCAAAACTAACTGAATTGCCGAAGTCGGAGAAGCATACACGATGAGGATTATGCTGTGAAGGGCTGACATCCAGTGTTATGTACACGTAGTACAATGACATAAAACGAGTTTGAGGGTTCAGCTCAAGAAGCTTTTCAAAGTTTTCGATTACCAGTGGGTTCATAACTTCGCAACGGGTGAGGAGCCTGAGTTGCAACATGCCCGCCAACACTTCTAGACTCATCGTATGAGTCGAGTGCATGCAACGCGATACGAAGACAACGATACTGGATACGTTCCAGTTTGATGATGTGAGTTTTAGCCGCCGACTGGAAACAAAAACTACCGTACTCTAAAACCGATACAATCGTTGTCCGGTACAACGTTAGAAGATCTTGCGGATGAACTCCCCACCACGTTCCGGTAATTGTTCGGAGAAAATTGATCCTTTGTTGACATTTTCGTCTCAGATACTCAATGTGGGATCTCCAGGTGCATTTTGAATCGAACCAGACCCCAAGATATTTGAAGGACATAGAATGAGTGATCGGTTTACCCAAAAGTTGAAGCTTTGGTTGTGGGCTATGCTTCCTAGAAAAAACGACCAACTCAGTTTTCTCCGTGGAGAATTCGATACCTAGCTGAATAGCCCAAGTAGACAAATTGTCTAAGGTATCCTGTAAGGGTCCTTGCAGGTCGACCCCTTTGGGCCCTGTCATAGACACTACGCCGTCATCTGCAAGTTGTCTCAACGTGCAGTTGTCACTTAGACAATTGTCAATTTGTCTGACGTAGAAATTATACAAAAGGGGGCTTAAACATGAGCCCTGGGGGAGACCCATGTAACTAAATCGAGAAGTTGTAGAGTTTCCATGAGAAAAGCTCATATGTTTCTCTGACAGCAAATTGTACAAAAAGTTATTTATTAATGGAGAAAGGCCACAAGCGTGGAGTTTGTCTGAAAGGACTTCAACCGATACTGAATCAAAAGCCCCCTTGATATCCAAGAATGCAGAAGCCATTTGCTCTTTTTTAGCAAAAGCCAACTGAATTTCTGTGGAAAGCAACGCGAGACAGTCATTCGTTCCCTTGCCCCTACGGAATCCAAATTGAGTTTCTGAGAGTAGGTGGTTCGTCTCAACCCATTTGTCCAAGCGAAAAAGGATCTCCAACAATTTTCGAATGCACGATAACATCGCGATGGGACGATACGAGTTATGATCCGACGCGGGTTTTCCAGGCTTTTTAATGGCTGTAACTCTCACTTGCCTCCAATCATCCGGAACAATATTGAGCTCTAGGAGCTGAAAAAACAAGTTCAACATGCGCCTCTTAGCGACGTCTGGGAGGTTCTTCAAAAAATTGAACTTGATTCTATCAGCCCCCGGAGCCGAATTGCCACATGAAAGGAGCGCGAATGAGAGCTCCAGCATTGAAAAAGGCTGGCTGATCTCGTCTACCGAATTCGTCGTTTCGCGAGGAATCATCTGTGCCGGCACGGAATCAGGAAATACTTTTCGCGCGAACTTGAGAATCCAACGATCTGAGTACTCCTCGCTCTCGTTGTTCGAAGACCGGTTACGCATCCTTCGCGCCGCGTTCCAAAGCGTATTCATCGACGTTTTGCGCGATAATCCGTCCACGAATTGCCGCCAGTATCCGCGTTTCTTGGCTTTGATGAGGCTCTTGAGTTCGCGTTCAAGAGAAGAGTACGCTTCGAAATTCACGGGTGTTCCACGTTTCCGGAAAAGCTTAAACGCGTCGGACTTTTTACGATAAACCAGTTGGTCCTACCAAGGGGAAGGAGGTTTCCTACGGAACGACGTTCCAGGAACCGGCCGAGTTTGAGCTCGAAGCGCGCTGTCCAAGATCAGATTGGAGAGGAAGTTATATTCCTCCAACGGTGGAAGCCCTTCTACATACGACACGGCTTCCTCTATCGCGGTCTTGAACGTTGTCCAATCGATATTACGGGTGAGGTCGTACGCGACGTTAACGGATTCCGACGGATTGAACCCACTGGCAATCATTTATCTTTTATGTCCGACCCTTTCGAAAAACAACAATTTCATATGGTAAATCAATGAATTTCAATGGTAAATCAATTGTATAGCAAAAATATCGTGTATATAGTTGTAGCAAACGCTTGGAAGTCATGTCGTTGAGAGTAGAGTTGTTATTAACGTCAAAATGGGATACGCGTGATATGAAGGTTTGCACTCATTATTCGCAAAAACAAAAGAAGCGCTCCAACCGAATTAATTTTTATCTTCATCCGATAGGCCGAAGTGAATTCTATGGCGTTTCAATTGCGTTTCAATGCGTTAGGCCAAGTTTAGAATCCGTAGGCCGAGTTTGGCGTCGAGAAGCAGTGTTAGACTTTTGACAATATCTCAACGATTGGTTTCTCTTTATCAAATCTTACGGTACGTACGGAAAGGTAAATAAATTTGGAAGCCACCAGATTAAGCAAGACTAAGTGTTGTTAGGCCGAAAATGGCGTAGTTAACCCTATATCTCTGCCTTTCGCTCTTAAAACTATCATCCATTGAGGTTGCTTTATTCAATCAGTACAGTTTATGAAAACATAATTTTGAATATAATGGTGTTGAAAATTAATTCGAATTCAATTTTCGCAAATGACCATGGGCATCTACTATATAATCAACACTCATGAGTTACATGGATGTAGAACATATATTGGACAGTATTTTGCAGGATGGTTCGATAGCTAAAGTATAAAATTATAATATACCTAAATTAGATAAAATTAGTTTTAAATTAATTAACTGACACGCACATAGAAAAAAAAAACTAATTTTACTCGTGACGGAATCCATCTTTGACATAAAAGATGAAACCTAAACCAACATGTCATGTAAAATTTAGTGCTCCGAGACTGAAAAGTTCGTTACTCGACGAAAAGTACGTTTGATTGAGCTGAATTTCACGTCTGCCATGACTCAATTTTATGTCAAAATTGACGCTCGTATA